CCTCCATCAGCAGACAAGTAGTACATAGCTGGAATCTCACAGGTGTTGTTTTTCTGGCCCAGATTGGCTGAGGGCAACAGGTTGACAAGATGACACACATGAAAATAAAATTTATACTTCACTTCTGTTGTTGCAGTAGTTTGTATATAATCCTGCTGTTGTGTCTAAATAATAGGATGAACACAGTAGAAGGTGAAGAGATGAAAAATGCTACAACCAACAAGATCCCTTCAAAGGAAAGCCAACAGTAGCTGTTGGTAAAGGTCTCCTCTTTCACTCTATTTCTGTTTTCATTTCTTCAGCTGAGTCTGTTTCACCTCAGCAACAAAGGCTCTGGGCTCTGAGCCAAAAATATTTGGAACTGGAAGTTATCTTTTGGATTTTCTACATTAAAGCAAAGCAAAGGTCCTTAAAACACCCAAGACTGAAATGAGATCAAAATAAAATGGGAGTTGAATCTGTGGTGCATTTGGGCAGACTACACTGAGTAATATAATGGCTACTGAGTTCTACAGATGAGTCTGTTTTGATCAGGTGTCTGCCTATCATGCCAATCTGAGTTCAAATCATTATATTTTCCAGACATTAATCCTTTCTAGTATTGTAGGACTAAAACACCCAAGACTGAAATGAGATCAAAATAAAATGGGAGTTGAATCTGTGGTGCATTTGGGCAGACTACACTGAGTAATATAATGGCTACTGAGTTCTACAGATGAGTCTGTTTTGATCAGGTGTCTGCCTATCATGCCAATCTGAGTTCAAATCATTATATTTTCCAGACATTAATCCTTTCTAGTATTGTAGGACACCTAATTGTGGTATTGAAATTGAAGAAGCGAAGGAAATCATTGAAGTTTCAGATTCAGCAGTGTGAGAGAGGATTCCCTCCATAGCCAATTTCAGCGCTATTGATTTCTTGACAAGTTTTGTAAAGGAGACTTTTGGCAGCAGCCACAGAGTGCTCCTTGAGAAGTGTTGTCTCCCTGTATTTGAGCATCAGAATGCTTAAAGCGTTGCTTTTGTGAGGTGAAAGGAAGATTTCATGCCTTAGAGCGTCAGAACCAGTGACATCAAACCAGTGTTTTTGTTCTGTAGTCGTTAAACTATACATTTCGAAACTTTGCAGTCAAACCCCTTGTGTTTGTGTAACAGTTCCTCATTTCGGGCTCAGTGAAGGAGCAGTTAGAATTTCACTCAAAAACAGTGTTCTCCATTTGTTCCTGTACTCCCAGTTTGTAGTTTGACACGCACGTTTTGCAAGCTGTTACTCACAATCAAGGTCACTTAGTGAACATGCATAAACACAGGTGTCTCCTGATGTCCTGTACGACACCCAGCTGGAGTTAACAGGCAATTAAGTGTAGACAGATATTAACCAGGACCTGGAGATAAAATTGGTCTGTATGGCAGAACAGAAATTTGGAACCAAAAAAAAAGGTAAGGAAAACCTGTAGTGCAAAGCCATCTAAAGCAGAGGTCGTGGGTGACAGTGGTAGGGTGGAGTGATCTTGAAAAGATCCTTTCCAACCTTAATGATTATGTGATTATTTTAACTTTTTTCCTTTTTTAAATTTGAATTCTAGATTTGTGAAGCTGATAGTTGTAATTAGGTTTCTTGGAGCATCACTAAGATCATCAGTTCTGAATACTGAAGGTTATGACTGACCAGTCTGTAGAAACTAAAAGCGTGTAAGTTTCTTGAAACCTTGTTCAAGGAAGTGACAGAAACATGACTGTACTCCTAAAATGATAGGTACAGCTAGTCCTTCTCTTAAACAGTTGTAAATTTTCAGCTTGATTTTAATATGCCAATGCCTTGTTCCAGAATGGTGGTTTAGTACCAATCTGTAAAATAAGTTTGGTAATGTAATTTTATTTGTTTTGGTTTAGTTTTGCAAGAATCATTTCTCTATGGTAAATCCTTAGTTGATCGATTGTCATAATTCTCTTCCAATTTTACACTGAATTATTGCACTTCAGGCAGTTAAGGACAGATGTTTGTCTGGAATACAGAAAATGTGTTTGTAGGAAACACCTGTTTTGCTGGGTGGTTACTTCAGTGATCTTTTTAGGCAAAGAGAACTAAAGGGGAAGGGATAGGTGGAAAGAAGTACAGGAGGGTCCAGTTTCATCCAGTGACCTTGATCTGATGTTTGCATAACTAGAACCAGTGCTAAGTGCATCTGCAGTACAGTAAATACTAAATCCCGTGTTCATTATTTCCAGTTCTAGCTTCTTTCGAGACCTGGATCCTTTCTGGCCTCTGCAGAAGAGGCTGCTGTGTTTTCTGGAAACAATGGGCTGTTTTCAGACTTATGTAATAAACATAGCTCGACTGAATTCTGCATCATTTGGGAACGTCCCAAAATAACAACTAATTAATTACCTCTGCCTTTTATCAAGTATGAATCCGGATTTAGTGTATGTACACAGATCCTAAATGCTTTGTAATATGTGGAAGAATTCAGTTAAATTGCGTGTGGTTTTCTGTTTTCTGTCTCCTGAATTAAATCTTCAATTCAAAACCTTGCACTAAAATAAAAGGGACATTCACGTAATGTTATTTGGGTGTGAATATGAAGCAGCTCTGATTACAGAAATTCAGTACATCTTTATAGAAATGACGCCGTATTGTGGTATTGTGGTACATGAAAAATGACTTGCAAGGAAGAGTGACTCAGTTTTTAAAGGGTAGCAGTATTCTAAGTTGAAGATGGTTTTTCAGTAGCTCTGTTTTTAGATTGTATTTAGGTTGTTGGGTAAGACATAGAGCAGTGAAGGCAGAATTTCCAGTGAACATATATATACACGTTTGTCAGAATGTAAGTCTCTAAATGTAGGCTTCTAAATCTCCCTTTTTTAATGTGTGCACATTTCCCTAATATACATGGGTTTTGTGTGTACCTCTTTCATTCCAAAACATTGTACTTGTAATTTTAATAGCACTGCAGAAGACAGGACTCGGTTTCAGGAGATACGAAAAAACTGAAATTTAGTGCAATTTGATACGTAGGGGATTGCAAAAAACCACTGTCAACTCCGGCTTAGAGGCTTTTACTGATGCCATACTGAATGTAATAATTATTTATGCGGCTGAGGAAAAGCTTTTCTGTGATAGTTTCAAGAGTATATATACTTAATTTTACCATTGTGCTTATTTTTAGTAAATCCCAGCATACAGTAAAGAAATGGGGAAATAATA